GTGCCAACAACAAAAAGAACTGGAGAAGAGAACTTCAAGGTGACAGTAATCATAGCTATATTTCCTTGACCCTGTTCTTATCCTTTTCTTGTTTTGCTTTTTATTTCTTTTGGAATTTCAGATCTGTAAATTGTATGACATGGCAAATTAAGTTTTTGCTTCCATTTTCTCTGCATGTTTGTTCTCTTGTTTATTTATTTCATATTTGCCCTCACTATAATGCAGCAGACATTGCAATGATACATGACATAAAATTGCCCGCTATCATGCATTGCCGTGTATTTTAACTATCTTACGTGATAGTCCGTGGTTGGATGGGGTATCGCCGTAGTGTGTGGTTAGCTGGGATATAGTGCGTGGTTGGCTGAGATATCGCCACAGTAACGTTCTCATTGCATGAAAGTGCTCATGTTTGAGATTAAGATGCAAAAAGTGTCAAAAGTATGACGACATATTATTGCATGTTTTCCACCATTAATAATCAGCTATTCCAGAAAGTACTTTTGCTTCTCCTGCTTCCTAATTGGAAATATAGCACATTATGTTAGGAGGATATGAATGAATGCTTTTCAAACATGGAGCATCTGTGGCTGCTATGTACCTGAGCTTTGATGCATTGTACATAAAACTCTGATAAAATCTGCACACTGAGTTTCTGCCTTTAATTATAGGCTTTTTATAGCTGTAGCTGCTATACAATTTATACAGCTACTGTGCAATATACCTAAGGTCCTACAAGAATTTCAAAATGAATATGGAAAAAAGGGAAGTAGGGAGTTAAGAGGTGAGAGAAAGGCTCTTTTACTCTCACTCGTCAGACTCCTACCAGGGCATATTCTCCCACCAACTCACATACATAAAAAATATTTTGTGTCACCTGATTGCCATTTTTTTTATCTAACCCTAGACAACCAAGGCACACCCCTCAATGCCACTACTTGTATGCCCTTCAGGATTTGAGCTAGATAACAACTGCAAAACACTATCCATCTCAGAAATTGTGCAAGGCCCCATGGTCACAATCCCTCCATTAATAAGTCAAAACATTTCTTACCCAAAAAAAACTCAAAATAGTTTGATCTGTTTTCTACTTTGATCTTTGTTATTATTTTGGTTATTTTCACTGTGTAGTTTTGTTTATAAATGAATCAAGCCCTACAAATGTAACAAATTTGAAGACAGAAATACCGTGACGTGTAGTATTTGTATATTGCCACATCGAATTTCTACGTGTAGTTTACGATTAAAGTTTGTTTAGAAGTCAAACTATAACTATATGATTAAGATTGTCAAAACTAAAATGAAAATTGAGTTAAATTAAGGGCACAAAAAGAAGTAGATAAGAAGCTTCCTCATGCTTCCACTTGCAATATGTCAAAGGCAAATATTGTTACTTAAATAATAGTAGCAGAAAATTCCTGAGTACATATAATCTGATTAGGTTTTGGGCCAGATTTGACTAATGGGAAGACACTGTGTGTGATTCTGTGAATAGCATGTGGCAAGTCTCTGATTATTTGGTTGGAAATAAAATAGTTAAAAGGTTTTACATGCTCAAAATCCAGGGCAAACTTTGATGCACTCCCTAGATCCTCGGCTGTCATTCTCACATGCCTCTCCAATTCTTTTTATAATACTACGCAGTCAAATGTTATGATGAAACTATTACCCTTCGTTTTTGGATGAGAAAAAATAATTCGAAATTGAGTTAAAATTAGGGAATTTAAGAGGAGAAATTGACAATTCATTTGTTTGGCAAGTTAAACTTAGAATTTATTAAATGACGCGTATGAAAAATTGTGAAAATTAGAACATCAAATTTCCGAGTTTAATTTTCACTAAAATAAGCTTCATTCAACAATTTCCATAGTGTCATTTACAAAATTCGTTCTACATAAATCCAAACACTGAAATTTTCAATTGCCAGAAATTGAAATGATGGAAATATAAATTCCTTCATTTTAGAATTTTATGTTATTTTCAATTCCTTCATCTAAACAAAGGGTTAATAACAAATTGACAATGTAGTATAAATTATAAACATAATTAAGTGGTAATTCATGTTTGTAAGTATTATTGCTATTTTGATATCTATGCAGTACTAATAATCGAATCCCTATTTAACTTTTTTTTAAAGAATCTTTTATATTGAGAGGGGTAATAATATACTAAACTTACACACATTATACATATGCTATGACTTGAATCCAGGACCTTGTATGATGAAGCAATTATTTCAAACCACTATATTAGTGAGTCATTTGCTATTTAAGTTTTAACTTTGTTTTAGATGTTCGTATATGTACATGTAGCTGATAATTATGACGCGTATGAAATTAATTTCGAAACTAACATGTTGAAAACTAATAATTGTTTACCTCATTTGCTTAAGTTGTACTTAGAACAATCATCTGCAGATGAGTAATTGTAAGTCCTTATCATGTTTTGCCCTAGTGCACCCTAAGTAGTCATCATTAACACATTTATTTATAAATTTTGAAGAAAGCATATGAAGTTAATGACCTGCAAAGTTCATATGGAACTCAAATCAGATCTAGCAGAGGTACTCATTGCACAATGGTACCACGCGCCTGGTTCCCAAATGGCCAAACAGAAAACTTCTTTTTGCTTTATGTCACTCTCACACCAGAGAACTTCAAATTCTTGCAAAATCCAAGTGCCATTTCCATGGATTTCACTTGTTGGGTAGACAATTTCGAAGGGATAGATTTTTCTCTATGGGAAAGACAATGACAGTTGAGACTTTTCGCGACAGTAAAACCCCATGCTTGACTGTTAATTTAGGGAGGTTCTGTTCGTACCAATGGAAATGTCTATTTCAACGACCAATTAATGAGCTTCTTTCATTGTTTTTAGGTTATTTTCATATTAACTGTTTTAAACAATATTTAATTGTTTCAAATTTGTATGAAGAATGGGAATAGAATACTGTCATGTTGATTGGTTAGTATGTTTGTATTCGTAGGTTATTATATTTGTATTGGCCTTTGTGGTTAATCTGACGGCCTGAATTATAAATGCAATTTTTCAACTTCTAAAAAAAAACCTGTTATTATTGTTTTGCAAGGCTAGACCAGCATGAATATCAACTTTTGTTTAGCTTTAATGAAAACTTTAAATATGAAAACTTCAGGCACTATCATTTTAGGTAAACTTGATAATAAGAAGAAAAGAAACTCTCAAGTTCCCATTCACTCTTCCAAACTCTCTCTAGCTTTCTGAACAAATTAGAATTTATGATGACATGTCCCTTTTTATATTATAAAATCAGATAGAAAACAACAAGGATACCCAAGAAAAGACAAAGAGACCTCTGGTTTCTGCAGTGGTGACCACCCCTTTACCATTTATTTACTGAGTTTGACTCCTCTTTTAACTCACCAGCCTGCCACTCTAGCTCTAGGGGTGTGTGTGTTTGTCATCCTTCTAAAACCTCAATGTTTAATTGTTGTAAATTTTTTATTTTTCTTTGATTTAATTATTTATTTAGTTAAGGTCTTGTGGGAGAAAAAGAAAGAGTGGCTGGCTGAATGGGTTTATTATCAGAAAAATTTGTGTGAAATATGTATAACATTGTTTTGCTATTTTCAGTTAAATACAGACTGTTACGTAGAATAATTATCACTTATAATATGCTGTTATTGACCGAAAATAGCAAAACATCAATATTCTATTTTATACAAGTGTTTAATTGTTCCAAACTTTTTATTTTTCTTTAATTTAGTTATTATTAAGGTCTTGTGAAGTTGCCCCAAGTCCTGTGAAGAAATAGAAAAAATGGCTGCATGGGTTTACTGTTGACATATGCAATGCCAAGTTGCCAACTAATTGAGCTCAAATTACCAAATAAAAGACAGGAACACTCTCTAGCTCTCTCTCTCTCTCTCTCTCTCTCTTTCTCGAGCCCCTACCTTCTTTCCCTCCTAGGGTTCTGCCTGGCATTTACTCTGTCATCTACTTGCTCTCTCTCTCTCTCTCTCTCTCTCTCTCTCTCTCTGTGCATACATGTGGTTAACTAATCGTGAGTGGGTTAAGGTTAACTGGTTAAGAGGACTGGATGAGATAAAAATCTCTCCTAGAAAGGAGAAACCTGTCTGTTGAACGGTGCTTTTAAGCAGAAAAGTATTTTCTTCCCAAAGCACAAAATAAAATAAAATAAGGCACTCTGCTGCAGCATACATCTGTGCATTCTCTCTCTCTCTCTCTGTTTGTGTGAGAGGCTGTGATCAAGGCACTGTGCTAAGAGATGAACTGGGTTATGGCTTTTAGAGAGCTGCATTTCTTGCTTAAAGAGATGGGTTGCTCTGAAACTTCTACAAAAGCTATATTTTTAACTTTATTTCTATAAAACCCCAGTTAAGGCAAGCACATTCTCCATTTGGGCAAAACCCCACCTCCTTTTTATCACAAGAAAATACACAGATTCCTCCAAAAAACCACCTTTCTCACTTTAACCCATTTTTATCTCCTAAAAGCAGCCTCAAGCCCCTCAAGAGCTATTGTAGTGAGAAAAGCTTCCAACTTTAACAAGAGAAGTGATGGGGGGATGTGTTGCCTCTAAGCTAGAGGAAGAAGGAGTAGTAACCATCTGTCGAGAGAGGAAACGCCAGCTGAAGTTAGCAGTGGAGAAAAGATGTGCTCTTGCAGAGGCACATTGTAAGTATTGTCATGCTTTATATGCAGTAGCTGCAGCCGTAGACCTCTTTGTTGCAGGCTACTCTTCTCCTCCTTCACCTTTCCTCATCACATTTTCACCACATTCACCTCCTCCTCCAATCACTGAAAATGTGATAACCAACCCAATGTTCCTTCAGCAAAGGCCATCTGAGTCAACCCATGAAGCCATTACCTGTGCTTCATGTGCTTCTTCAACATCCTCAGAGTACTCTGAGGAAGAGAGAGAGGAGGAAGAAGAAGAAGTAAAAGAAGAAAAAGCAGAGGAGAGAGAAGAACAGGCTTGTGGGTACTTTTATATGCAAATGCCACCATCAATGCCATCTCCTCAGAGAGATTTTGGGTGGGATTTCTTTAACCCTTTTGACGCCGTGAGACCGGAGATTATAAGCAGTTACAGGCGGAGCTCTGAAGATGATTTGAGGGTGGTGAGGGAAGAGGAAGGGATACCAGAGCTAGAAGAGGAAGGGGTTCCTGAGCTAGAAAAGGAAGGGGTTCCTGAGCTAGAAAAGGAAGGGGATAGAGAAAAAGAGCAAGAAAAGAAGGTAATGGTGGTAGAAGAAAATGTTGATGCAGAGCAAGAAAGTGCAGGTGAGGTGGTGAAGGTAGTTGATGAAGCTAATGTGAGCCATGGAGAGCATAAAGGACTTGCTGTTGTTGAGACACCAGCTGAAGGAAGGGAGCTATTAGAAGCATTGAGGGACATTGTTGACCTTTTTACTAGGGCTTGTGATTCTGCAAAAGATGTGTCTAGGATGTTGGAGGCTAACAAAGTGCAATTGCAGTCTGGTTTGGAGGAAATAAAAGGTAGGTCTTTGTTTTCTTTTCAAAACTTGAAATTTAACCGCATTTTTTTAATGCCATTTTTATAGGATGAATTCCCTTTCTGTATGAACTGTGCATGAGTTCTGTTGTCTGTTACAGCACAATTTTAAGCTGATCTGCGGAGTGTTTGGTGATAAATATGGATGGCATAATTAATTTGTTGTTTTGGATCTTGACCCTTCTGTGTATTTCTTTTGTCTTCTCGTATTACTTTGCATGTGCCCTGTTTGTGGGCTGAAATTTTGATTTCAGACGATAAAGATATTTGTTCTTATTCTGGTCCTACATGAGTCTTGGTTTCATTTGTTTGTGCAAACTTTTTCTTCAAACTTTTTCTTCAAATTCTTAGTTTTTCCTTTCGGGCATTATTTTCTTTTAAAATTTGATAGAAGCAAATATGTAGGGGCTTTCTTTTCTTCATGAAGTTTACATTTTTCTCCAAATTTTTGTCTGAATGATCTGCATTATGCATTCACTTTGTTGATCTGTTTGTAGCTGCCTAGATTTCTTTCAACGTTATTGAACTAATAGAGAGAATGCCTAAACAATTCCCATTTGCTTCCAACTACCCTTTTAGTTATTCCACTATCTTCTGAAAATATCAATGGTGGGGCTCATTTAGTTTTTATGTTTGTTTAACAGAGAATGTATTGTTCTGTTTAAACTTTTTCCGTGACTTGGTTTTTACATATATACCCAAGTCCTATTTCCAAATTGTTCCAGACTAAACAAGGATATGGTTTGGTGGACCTCAGTTTCATTTTCTTTTCTCAAAAGGTTGGAATATTCTTGCAAATGTAGATCATCTTCTTTTTCAAATGAGAGGTCTAATAATCACTTTTAATGCTCTCTATCTGTTTTGATGTTATTGGTCTCTTACTCTATTTCCATCTCCATATAACATTTATAGTTCTTCACTGATCCTATTTTAATTCAGAGAACTCAACAAAGCTAATTCAAGCTATAGCATGGCATCAATCGACGTCATCATCCAAGCTTTCATCATGTAAGAGTCTCGTATCGTCTAGCTCCAAGAGTTCTTCAACATGGACAGAATTTAAGAATGATCTTTTTGATGATTATGGAGGAATGGATTCAGGAAGTCATGCGCTTACTCTAGGAAGGTTATATGCTTGGGAAAAGAAGCTCTATGAAGAAGTTAAGGTAAGCTGTTTTTGCTGAAAACAGTCTCCCTGAGTCTGACTAACCCAGCACATGTTTCCTTTTCACCAAGCTATAAACTTGAGTTGCAAGCAAAGAACGGAGAACACAAACACTTAAACTAATTTGTTATTTTTACTAATGTGGTCTGAGTATTTGACATTTACATTGCCTTTAGGCTGGAGATATCACACGGAAACTATATGAGAGAAAATGCTCACGACTTAAGCACCAGGATATAGGAGACGATGACGCCATGGACAAAACTCGAGCTGCAGTAAAAGATTTATATGCTAGGATCCTGGTTGCAATTCGGAGTGCTGAGTCAATCTCCAAGAGAATCCAGATACTGAGAGATGAAGAACTGCAGCCCCAAATTGTTGAGTTGTTGAAAGGGTATGGAAGTTAACAGATAGAACTTAAGCAGTCCTCCAAATTACTTTCACTCTGAGTTTCATCAGTTTTCATTTTCCTTGTATCTTGTGCAGCTTAATGCGCACCTGGAAAATTATGTTGGAATGTCATGAAACCCAAAACAAGATTCTTTTTGATGTGAAATCTTTTACCGGCTCCACGTATGGAAAGTTCAGCAACAACTCTCACAGGCGAGCAACACTTCAGCTTCAGGTCGAGCTTCAGAATTGGCATGAATGCTTTAAGGAGTATGTTGCAGCACAAAAAGCATACGTCGAAACTCTCCATGGTTGGCTGACCAAGTTCGTGGTCCCTAAAGAGGAATTCTACTCTAGGAGCAGTTCAGCTGTGCCATATGGGGTCAATGGTCCACCATTGCTTGTGATTTGCCGTGATTGGTTGGTTTCTGTGGATAAATTACCGGATAGGGCAGTCACCATTGCCTTGAAAAGCTTCGCAAAGGACGTGAGGGCTCTGTCTCTTCAGCAAGGGGAAGAACAGCAACAAAAAAGGAAAGTTGACAGCCTAGCAAAAGAGCTCGACCGGAGAATTCTATCATTCCAGAAGACAGAGAGCAGGCTTCTTGAGCCAAATCTTACAGAACACAAATGCGAGTCAGATATGGAACGACAGAGTGAGTCCTTGACAGAGAAGAAGGAGCAGCTAGACGTGTTCAGAAGAAAGCTGGATGTGGAGAGGGAAAAACACCAAAATTACATGAAAGAAACTCAAAGGATCACATTGAAAGGATTTCAAACTGGCTTTTGTGCAGTTTTTGAGTCCTTGTCCGAGTTCTCCAAGGCTTCTCAAAAAATGTACAATGAACTAGTTACTTGCAGTGAAAATGCAGAAAAAGTTGGGAACCCAGCGTATATAGAAGGCACAAAGCATGAAGAAAATAGCAGCAGGTGACATATGGGCTTTTGAGAATTTGGAACTGTGGATTGTATTTGTATATATATTGTGTCAAAGCCGCTCGCTGAGACACAATTATTTTAAGTTTTTGGGGGTGGTCTTGTATTGTAGCAACGAATTGTTAAATGTTGCTATAATTAGTTGTTATGATTGGTATCTGCAACTCTCGTGGTAGACTTCTTTGTTTCCAAATGAACAGAACTTTCTCCATGGTTTCATACAGTTCTGACTCCTGAGCACATTAAAATTGCATCACCTCGGTTGGTTGTGGCGTGTGACTGATTTAGGGCCGATGCATGTGAGTTTCAAAATATACAGTTTTGACTTCTAGAACATCAAAATTGCATCATGGTTGTGGAGGTTTAAACAGAAGGAACGTGATTCCCCTTGTTAAACCCACATGCATGATGCATCTACTTGTCAGAAACCATCCACCCGCATCCGAACAACGTACCTCAGCACTCTTGTAAGAATTTCAGAAAGGCACTGACTTGTCGTCATATGTGAATTTAAGGGCTGTGGCCATCATTCCCACTGGAAAAGCAAAAGCATATCGTGCAAAATTGGACAAAAAGATGGAGCTGCCTACGCCTACGCATCTTTTCATGCTCCTCAAGATTGGTTATTACAACTCAAATATCTTCCCCGTCCTATTCATGGCTCCAAGTTTGACAATAAAAATTATAAAAATTATTCATTTTGTAGAATTACAGTTGCCTAACTCGATAAACAACCCACTAAAAGCCAATCAATCAAACTTGTCCCGCGATTCTACTCCACCAAGGGCCCATGGGCTTCAATTCCTTGGGTTTCGATTCAGCCACGAGTTCCCTTGGTGGCCACAGACGTCAAGCTCAGAGATCTACCAAGCAATCAACACACTACCTTCTATCACCATCCCTTTTATTCCAACACTCAGTATAAGCGAATGACTTTTTACAAGAGTAGATTTTAGGGAACTCAGGTTTATCACAATGTCTATGGAGTGCCATTAGCATTCTGGTTAGATGGAATCGACAAAGGCTCATACAGGTACATAACAAGTGCTTGGCAGGAGAATTGGAAGCTAAATCTGATCTTATGAGTTGGTGAATGGGAGTTCGGAAACCACATTTAGAGCTTTCAACTCATGAACTCCAAAAAGTAGGGACCTAAGGATACAAAATAACATAGAAATAAAGTTGTTAAACCCCGAAGGGTTGGAAATAGCAACTCCTGGGGAAAGAGAGAGAGAAAGAGAGTGTGAGCGAGTAAGTGAACGATAAGTTCCACTACTTTCTATTGTTAGTTTTGTACATGTAATGATACACATCCTTGAAAAAAAAGCATGGGTATGATCATGCCAACGAATAATTACAGATTTCACATATAAGTCGTGGGTACAATGCTCCTTTACCTTAAATATAGGGAGACCACTAATTGCAAAAAAATTATAAATTCGCTTACTACAGCAGCCGGAGAATGGATGCCAAGAAATGGAACAATGTCTACCTGCAGAAAATTCTCTACTGCTGAGCCCACCACAGCACCAGCAACAAGCCCCCCTATGGTTATGATAGTCGCCTTCCCTGCAAACACGAACAGAAAATCACTCCAAAGTACTAAATGCCAAAGATCAGATTAGAAAAAAAACACACACACAAACTAAGGAGCATGAAGTACAGGAATTTCCCTCTTTTTCATTTTCAATAACCCAATGCAATTATGTTCTTCAGATTCAGTGTACCATATTTAAAGAATGCAGATATCCAGCTCAAATGCCGAAATGGCAGGTGAGAAATACTCTTTTGTTAACAAGAGATCACTACTTTCCAACCACTTTCTTATGCAAAAGTTAGGGACACATTGGATCCATCATTATCAAAGTTGAAGGTAGATAACCTACCTAAATAAACAAATCCTAGATTTCCATTCATGATTATGAGACTATCACACAGAAAATAGTATTCTCCAATGCCTTACAATCTAATAAGCAGTAATAAAGAGAAGTCTGTACCGAAGAAAACTACATACCTAACTTAATACTGTACCGAAGAAAATTACATACCTAACTTAATATTCTTTTTGGTCATGAAGTACAAGGAAGCTCCAAAGCTACCGGCCAGGATCAGTCCAGGAACATCAGCCCCTCCATATGGCCCCACAGAGGAACTGGAAGCTCCATTGACATAAGTTAAGGCCATCAAAGCTCCGTATACACCAGCTTGTACGCCCAGATCACTAGTTGAGGGTGTTTCAACTGCAATGGGTGGATTCTTCACATTAGCTTGCAACCACTGAGGCACTGATCCAATTCCAGGAGCACTCACCGGCTTAACATCAGCATAACGAACGCTACTATTCACAACTTTCCCCGCTCGTCGCTGAGTCAAGCTTCTCATAAGTAACATGTCGTATGCAGCCTCAACCTAAACTAATTAACATTAGTGATAAGGAAATCATAATTAGGGTACAAAATGCCAAACCAAAACTAGTGACCACCAGAATATATGCTTGTGATATTTACCAAAAAAATACCATCATTCATAGCTTGTTTGCAAGCATTAAATATACTCATTTGCAATGGTCCTAAAATCAAATATTATATCAAATAAACGAGTAAAACAAATGAAACTATTCACTCTACAAATTCTAAGCATTTAAAATAACATATTAATACGAAACTTACTAATTAATATGCTCAAATTTACGTGCACTAGAGCTAGAGTGAATTGACTTAAAAAAGAAAGAAAGAGCTAGAGTGGCTAAACTTAAACATTATTCAATAAGTTCCACATTAAAAACTCAAATCTCTCCAATTTTGCAGGAATTGATTAGTTCAACTTCAACCCACTTTGATTTGTAGAAAACCCAGACAAATCATACAAAGTGATTGACATAAATTTCAGAAAGTCGAAATTTTTTTTGAAGTTGAATGGAAAATGAGGAGATATAGCAACCTGCGCAATCGCCTCCTGGTCATCTTTACAAGCATCGACAATCGAGTTCTTGGCGCGAAGAATTTCATCGAACGACGCGCCGTCTGATACGCCGAGGAGCTTCAGGGCGTTCTCCACCGACATCTCGAACGGCGCCGAGTCATCGGCTCTGGAGCCGGCTTGGACAAGAGTGGCGGCCCAGGCTAATGTGCGGTTGGAGGGGACGATAGAGCCTCTCCAGGGCTCGAATTGCACGTCGGGTTTTCGGAGGCGGGCCGGAACTGGCCGTCGAACAGGTGGCCGAGGGAAGGATGAACCGGCGGAGAGGCGGTTGGGCCGGACCGAGAGAGTGGCTGCCATGTGTTCGGAGAAATGTGAGGCTGGATTTGATGCGAAACGTGCGTGGCGATATGGGGCTTTGGTCATAAAACCAAACAGTTTGGTTTAGAATGTTGCGTTTGGCTGCGTCTTTGCGGTCATCTAAAATTGTGGACCGTTGATCGACATGTTATCGGATTTAAAGGATGACCAATCAATAATTTGTATCATTATTGCCTTTGATCTATATTTCTTTTAATCAACATGGAAATTGGAACTTTGTAATTATTTTAACGCTGAAAAGAAAGTTACCCTTCTTTTAAGAGTTTGTATGATCTACAGAGAGACGTATGTTAATTATCAAAGAAAGAGAAGAGAGCCATAATATAAGATGGAAGTTTACATTTTCTATCCTTTACATAATTTTAGTGATAAGTTCATCTCACACATCTTATGTCACTTAAGTTAAAACTCGTAAACATTTTAATCTTTAATAATAAATTTAAAAAACACTCATAATATACGATAACTACTTGTATTATACTTTTGGTTAATACACTCTCATTTCCTCATTTCAAGTCACTTCTATGTGTGCATGATATGTGTGCAATGCAATCATTGTCTCTGATTGTTTATTTTTCCTTACAACTAGACGAGATGGGTTAGTGTTCAATCATTCTACATAATTCATTAAACAAATCAGGTTAGAAATTATAGTATTTGAAAGAAAAAACTCGAAATAACATGATACGAACACGATTCATTAACACAGATTGTGACCCCTACGCCCAATTTGTTTAATCGTATTTGCATAATCCCTAGCTTACTTTTCATCGTTGTTCTTGATAGCTTTATAGTTTCAGCTTCAAAAAACTTGGTTGGTTTAGTGATTTACCCACAGACAGAAAAAAAAAAGACTTGGTTTAGTTTAATCTTTGTTCTTCTTTGTCGTGTGGGTCTCGTCCAAGTTAGCGGGTTTTGGCGCCACACATCGTTTCCTGGATATCGGTTGCAGAACTCCGCACAACCCACGAGCCATAAACGTGTTACTTGGCACGCTTATGGCCAGAGCCGAAAAAAGAAAGCAGAAAGACATGCTAATCGTTAATCGTTGTCGTTAGTTACCCAAAAGGTGGGAACTCAATTTGGAAACGATGTCGTTGGCTTGTTGTTGGAGGCTCACTCTGACGTTCCCACCAACCACGCCGGGTTTCTCTAGCAGAAGCCGAAATGGGTTTCGTTGCAGAGCTTATGCTGAACAAGACCATGCAGCCGCCAATGGAAGCTCAAACAAGAAGGAAAAGAAGAAGGTTGTCGTTGTTGGCTCTGGCTGGGCTGGCCTTGGCGCTGCTCACCACCTCTGTAACCAGGTCCAATCTCTCTCTCTCTCTCTCTCTCTCTCTCTCTGCTTCATGTTTAAGTGGGTGAAATTTGAGTGTCTAATTTGGTATTTATTTGCAGGGTTTTGATGTCACTGTTCTTGAAAGTGGTAATGACTTGGGTGGACTTGAAGAAGTTGGTATCCGAGGTAACCAATCAATATTTTGCCTTGGATTTTCGATTTTGGAAAATGGGTTTTGCTGATTGAGTTCTTTTTATTTCATATTTGATTTATAAGATTGGTTTTTTACACACCCTTTTTGATTTTTGAGAAGCCCAAAGCATTTTTATGGCAAGTAGAAAAGTTCACATAGTTGAATTCTGCTATGTTTTGTAGGTTATTGGTATCCCTACCAGAACATTTTCAACCTTGTTGATGAGCTGGGTATCAAACCATTCACTAACTGGACAAAATTTGCACAATATTCAGCAGAGGGATTGGAGGTAATCAATTGACATCTTGCTTTTGGTTTCTGTGTTCAAACACGGCTTCCTGGTTAGTTTCTTGTTCCTGTTGAAATTGCGTTAGAGGATTTGGAATGTGTTAATGGGAGGCAGGAACATTCTGCAGGTTGAATTTCCAGTATTTCAAGACCTTCCTCAATTGCCAACTCCACTGGGAACCTTATTCTATCCACAGGTCTAATTTGCTTGCCCCCTTATGTCTCATTTCTTATTCCAGTGGAAAAATTTAGCAGCTTTGTGTTGATCAATATAGGTTATATCCTGTGCAGTTTGTTCAGCTTCCATTGGTTGATAGATTAACTACGCTTCCCTTAACGGCAGCAGGTATAGTCTTTTACCAAAATGTGGAATTTAATTTTAAATGCTTAATTAGTGAACATTTATTTGCCAAAGGAGCTTGTAGGGTAGTGAGTTCTGTTAATCAGTTATTCCATTGTTTCTTTGTTCGAAAAGGCAAAAATAGATCACAAATTATGATTGTGTGAGCGAATGTTGGAGGAAATTGTTGAATTGTAGTACATCACATCTTACAAATCCTGCATATATCAACACATCTGCGTCTTTTCTTTACAGTGATTGATTTTGACAACACGGATACAGCCTGGAGAAAATATGATTCAAGTAAGGCTCTATAAGTCAGGAGCTCTATGGAGTTCCATCGTTTGGATAATGATTTGTTACATGTGATGGATAAACTCAAACTTAAGTCTTATTAAGAGTTTTAACTGGTAGTTACCGCAAGGGAGCTTTTTAAGCAGTTTGGCTGCTCAGAAAGGCTTTATCAGAATGTCTTATCGCCATTGCTTCAAGTGGGTCTCTTTGCTCCAGCAGAACAATGTAGTGCTGCCGCAACTCTGGGCTTGTTGTCTTACATCCTTGCTCACCAGGTGTGATTAAATGAATTACTTTCTGGAGTAAGAAGGATCTTTACTCATGATTCTTACAGACCATCTGTGAAATATCTGTTCACTCGAACTCTTCCTTTTGCCAAATACTAGAGTAGATATATTTTACCAGTGCAAAGTTTCCCATAACGAGAATCTTAAAGTACATTCAACCTGAAGTACATTTATTTGTCACTTTTGAGAAATATCTTATGTTTTAATCCTTTCTCCTTATTATCAACTAAAATCCTAATTTTGTTGATGTGTATAGAAAGATTTCGATATTGTCTGGTGTCGTGGAACAAGTAGAGAAAGGATTTTCAAGCCCTGGGTTGAGTCTTTGACGGCTAAAGGCTGCAAATTCGAGAAGCGTATAAGAGTAACAGACTTCTTAATTAATGAGGAAACAGGTTGTGTTTCAGAAGTAATTTGCGGGAAAGAAATTTATAATGCTGATGCTGTTGTCTTAGCTGTTGGAATCTCCACTCTTCAAAAACTTATTGAAAATAGGTATTGTTTTATCAAATTTCAGAATGTAAAATTCATTCTGTCTTATGTCCAATGTCATTGAGTGATAATGTTAAAAAGTACAGTGAGAACTAGATTCATTCCAACTATCATCCACATGAAAGCCTAAACAATAATTTTATCCGAATAGATCTTTGTGCATCTTAGAGTTTCAATTGACCCTATTGCTGCTATTCTACCTTAATTGGCAGTACTTGAGTTCTGTATAGTGCAGTGTTGTGTACAAGGGAGGAGTTTCTTAAGGTTTTGAACTTGGCTAGCATTGATGTACTCTCTGTTAAGCTCTGGCTCGATAGGAAGGTGAGTTCAGTGGAAGTCCAATTTCAACATCACTTCCTTCTCTATATATTATGTGGGAAGGGTAATTTTATGAAATTTTTATGAGCCGCAACAAATCTAGCCTGCTGCTTATTTCTGAGCTTTCTCCTTTGCTTTAGTTTTTCAAATATAGAATATCTACCTTACTAGTTAGCCACTTTGATTTGGATAGTATTTATATAGATTAAATATGCTAGTAAAAGGGTATTTTTCCAGTTATGTTTTGACAGAGCTGATTCTGTGTTGTAAACTCCACACATAACCAGGTTAACATTTCAAATGCAAGTAATGCTTGCTCTGGATTTGATGATTCATTTGGGTGGACTTTCTTTGATTTGAATGCAATCCATGACGAATATAAAGATAGTACGGTAACAGTGTTACAAGCTGATTTTGTGAGTATCTTCATGTGTTTCTTTCTTCTCTGATCTTGTCATTATTCACACAATTTACTTTAGAAATTAAATCTTATCTTTAGTTTGTCCCAAATGTCTGATGAGCAGTATCGTGCCAATGAGTTGTTGCCGCTGAAGGATGAACAAATTGTTTCCAAGGTGACATCTTACCTGTCAAACTGCATCAAGGACTTCAAAAATGCTACTGTGACAGATAAGGAGATTGGCAGATTTCCAAACTCCTTGACTCACTTCTTTCCTGGTAAGAGTTTTTATGGCATGACCTATATCCTGTCTTATTATATGAATCAGATTGTTTAGCTACGGCATTAAAGTAAACTAACTGTATTATAAGGGGCACATTTCTGTGGTAAGAATGAACTAAGGGAAGAATGACTATCAGATGGTAAATTATACTTTTGTTCACAACACCAGTTTCTTTTTCTCTGTTGTGTCCTCTCTTAACAGGCTCATATAAGGACATGATGCGTGGCTCTACATCTTTCCCGAACTTGTTCATGGCTGGAGACTGGATTATAACCCGACATGGTTCATGGTCACAGGTTAAAGATTCATACTAACCATTATTCTTATCTTCATGGATCGAGATAAATGCAGAAAAGCTGAAAATATGGTTTGCTGCATTTCCTTCACAGGAGAAATCTTATGTCACGGGACTTGAAGCTGCCAACCGCACAGTAGACTATCTTGAAGAAGGAAGCTTTGCTAAAATCATACCTGTAGAGGAAGATGAACCTCATATTCAAGCACTTCGCAGCCTTAACAGAAGCTTCAATGAGATCACAGCACAATTTCCATTGTCTAGTTACTTCCTCCAATGAACTTGTCTGTTTGATTTTCTCTTTTTGCTGCATTTTTATGCCCTTGTATCTATTCTTACTATTGATTAAAGAAATCTTATAAAATCCACAGTTATGAACCTTATCATTTCATGAATTGAGTGTTTGAATTGATTGGCCTATGGGGTATGCATGAAAGTCATGGTAGTTGCTAAGTTATTAGTCTAAAGAGTTATTGACTGAAATGGTCCTCCAACTTTTGCTCCAGTCTCATTTTGGCCCTCCAACTAAAATTTTCATTGCAATAGTCCTCCAACTTTCCAGTTAGTATCAAAATGGTCCTACTGTCAGAGTCTCACTTGTACAATACATGTATTATACGTTTGCTTTCATTATAACGAGTCTTCAAGACGTATACGAAAAATGAAAGTATTATTGAAAAATACATACGCACGTGTATAATACGAGTATTAAATGGGGAAATGCTAAATTCTTTATATGGGTAATAACTCTGGAAAAGTAAAAAAATCAAAAGGAGACAATAGCTATACCTTGGTAATGGCCTAAACGAAATGGATATTGCTCAAGACTGATCTTATTGACAAAGGAAAATCATGGAGAAATAATTTAAAAATCAAAAAGGCACCCATTAGATATTTAAAGAGTATAACCGTGCGGCTATACTCTACAAATAGAATATTTTAAAGGTACAGCCGCTCGGCTATACTCTACAAATACTAATTATTCACTAGAGAAATAATAGGTAGAACATAATACCCATGAAAGTAATTAAATCAGGCTAAGATATTATTCAATTACTGAAAATAATTTTTTTAAAAAAGTTTATTGACCTAAAGATACGGTTTATATTTATTTTTTTAAGAAAACCTCTCCCGACAAAATTTGCCGGATTAGGTTTTCCCGACGAAATTTCGTCAGCAAAGGTGTTTTCGTCGGGAGAGGTTGTTTTGCTTTTAATACTTAAATTAAACATTAAAAAAGAGAAATTCAGGAAGTCAATCATATGTAGCCTTCACTACCAAGCCCATCAGGCCACCAATCTTGTTTGATTTGTCAAGGTTTCATGCTTATAAAGCATTTACAACCTTTTGTTTCCTCCAATGTGGGAGATTTGCTTTCAAACTTGCAACACTATTTTCTGCAATTTACTTACTGTTCCATTTGTTACCTTCCAGGTACGTTTGAATTGTAGATGGCAAAACAAACAATGGCCTTCTCTTTACAAGCACTTCGCTATCATGCGGATCAAAAGTTGTATCATCTTCAGGTTGGTTCTGTTTTTATCTTCTTGTCTTTTAGTCTTATTTGTATATTTTGATTGTGAGCTACCTTCCTGCACTAACTCATAATTGTTTCCTTTTCATCATGGTTTTAATGCTTTTCTTACTCACTCTAATTCATTGTTAAATTGAAAACTGGGGCATTGCCAGACCCCTCAATCTCCCATTGTACGCACAAGTGCATATAAGAAGTACTGCATGGATGAATATCCAACCGGCACAAATGCAAGCGTTGCTGTATTGTCATATACTGGGTGAGAAACTTTGAGACGAAAACCAGATGGCCCTATGTATGCTATGCATGTACTGACTATTCTGTGCTAAATCTCAGACAATAAAACCAGATGAAGAATATTATAGCATCTATAATGAGGTAAACAATGAGCGACATGCCGTCAAACGAAAAGGTTCAGAGGCTGTCATCGTTGACTATGTTGCTATAGATGGGAAGAAGCATCTTCAGAATCATCCGCAGAAGGTAAGCGGACAACCCGATTGCAATGTTAAGCTACTTGATGTGTCATTGTCGAGTGTTTACATCTATATTCAAGAATTCTTTATCCCATAATTTATATTTTACATAATAGCATATGTTTTTACTGTCTGGTTTTCCTTTGTTATGCCCTTTTTGTGTTGCAGGGTTTCATTTCCTATGTTAAATTCTTTTCTTTTGAGCAGGTGAACATACGCTTTTGACACCCTAGAAACCCTGTCATTGGTGATAATAAGTTTAGCAGCCGACATGGACAAAAAGGTGATTGCTCCCAGTTGTGGCCTGATATTGATATGCCATTTTCTGAGGTTACGGGAATGCGTCCAGATCTTATCATCAATCCACATGCATTTCCTTCAAGGATGGCAATAGGAATGCTCTCGGAATCGATTGCTGCAAAGGTACTAGCACCTAAAGAATTTTCCTTTTATGATTTGTTGACAGTCTATTGACAAAAAGAAATGCATTGCTGGTGCTCCCCCTGTAGACAAAGTACAGATGTTTATGTTCTGTGGTGGCCTGAACTGTTGTATTGCAGCAGTAATAAAGTGATGGAAGGCTAATTTGTGCAATGGTTGGGGAAAATGTGAGAGTTTATTAGGATTTGGAAATGTTCAAATAGGACTTTAGGCGAATAAATCTCGATTTCCATCGAGTTGCTGGAAAGGGAAATTCAGATAACAGGATTTTTGGGAAGTTTCTGGAAAATAAAAATTAACTATTAGTTGCTACTCTTGGGTTATAGAGTTAAGTTTTAATTACTGGATGAGCATAAATACTAGGACATAAATTTGCACTTTGGTAAAGTACTGCACAGCAGAGTCCATTGAACTTCTTGAAATAATAGTTCGTGCATCATATTTAACAATGAAAAGAAAACAATCAAAGATGCTTCCTTAGTCTTGATGGCTGCTAGCTTCCTAAACAGGATTTCTGTTCTATGAGGTACAGGCCTGGCCCGGCCGCACGAAGCAAGAGGAAATAGGTATAGGCTGGATCAATAAAAGAAAGATAACGAAAAGGTGCTCTTGCCCCTTTCCGGGAGGGATGGTTCTTCTCGACAGATTAAGCTACTTACTATAGTTAGGGTATCGAACAATGGGTGGCAACTTGCCCAATAAGAAATAAAAGTAGCCCGAGTGAAAGATTTTTCGTCACAAGGGGGTAGCTTGCATGGAGAATATGTTGATGCAACACCTTTTGCTAATTCAAAGAAGGCTAATGAAAAGACTCAACCAAAATCCGAAACCCTTGTTGATGAACTTGGTGAAATGTTAAAGGTTAAGGGGTTTAACTACTATGGTTTAGAGGTGTTGTACAGTGGGGTTTATGGAACCAAACTGACATGTGAGATCTTTATTGGTCCTGTTTATTATCAACGACTACAACATATGGTTTCAGACAAGTTTCAGGTAAAAAACTTTAACATTCCCTCCCACCCCTACAGATAAAAAGTCACATGAAATTTTAAGATTTTCTCAGTATGCGGGTCATTAGGTTGTGCAAAAAAGGAAGGGAATTATTACGTGAAGTTTATTTCTTGCAGTACGTTACAATATGTAGTCCAACAAAATCATCAGCACAAGTGCAATATCTTGCAAGGCATGTGATCACTTTTAATTGAGATTTTAGTTTGAGTATGGATATGTACTTACCATAAAACACACCACTTGTACAAGGACCAAAACAATTGCTACTAAGAAAGCTAATGGACCCAAATGTAACAACGGTCAAAGTTCATGGACCATGGCATAAATTTTTTCAAAAAAATTAAAAGACTTTTTTTCTGAAGGAAGCTAAAGATTGGGCCATTTGTTATTTACCCCAAAAAAAAAAAAAAAGACAAGAGGGCTGCTGAAGCATAAGCTCAAGCTGCCTTAGAGTTTTTAAATGGGAGTTTGAATGTGACAAGAGGGCATGTGTTCTGTAACTTAGGATGAATGTATCAGCATGGGATCTGTTTTCATCTCCAAGGAACCAGGTCATTTGGATTTGTCTGCTCCAGTTGATATTTCCAATGTTTATTGTTTGATTCGAGCAACCGAAAGATTGAATGAGCAGAAATTTGGGTTTTTTACCTTCTTTTTTTTCTAGATTGATTCAGAACATTTCTTTATTGTTTATAAAGTCAAGTTTGGGGAACATGTTTGTCTCATTGCACTATAACACGTTCTATCCATCTATGCCTTGCTTCTCATTCCCAAAGCCTAAAATGGCTTGCATCCATTCTTGTTTGTGGCCTTTTGCACTTGCGTCCATGTTGTTAGTTGCTATGTGCAGTTTCTCACGCATGAACATGAGCCATCATCATATTGATAGTCATATGTTGCTTCTTGTTTCAGGTTTTGGGAGTGAATGTTTGTTGCTAAATTGGATGCTGCTTTCTTTGCTTTGCAGATTGTTATTAAGAAAAGTGACACATGTCTGGAAGAAAAGGGAGAACGTCAAAAATAGAACGTTAAAGAGAAGGTTGCTATAGCATTCAATGTTGTCAGAAAAAACTCTTGATATTTCCCAACTCTAACCATATAAAGAATAACCATTATAAATCAGTTAATCTAAACTTAGTACTTAATAAATACTTGCCCAATCTCGAGATAATTTAAGCCTCACTACAGGCATACAAATTCAACAGTTGAAGGCAATTTTTTTTTAACGAGTTGCACAGCGTGCTCTCTTGCTTTCGCTTCATCAGCGAAATCTTCACTACCCGCCTCCCAACGTCGGAGAGGATCAATAACAATTTTCTCTAAAGCAACAGCACTCTTTATTAAGAACATGATATGCTCAACAGCAGATGCACGAGCGCGATACCCGACTATTTCTACTACCTTGAGGGAATGATGGGGGCATTTCACAGCTTTATTTATTTCTCCTAAGTCCTCCCACAATATAATGAAATCCAACTGCACCACAAAAAAAAAATTTGTGTAAGACGCAACAAGAACCAGAAGGAATATGAAGTCTATTACCATGTTTCATTACACAGCCAAATTTAACCTCCTTGTTTTGTTATACTTTTCATTCTTCAAATTTTCAGTGGAACGAAAAGAAGATGAACAAAATCACCAAAAGTGCACATACATAGACCTACATATAGTTTTACCATGTAATCTGCCGAATACAAACATATACCTTCAACACAAGTCTTTGCAAGAAAGGAGATGCTTTCAGAAAAGAAGTTAAATGAAAAAGAGCCAGACGGTAATCTGCAAGAACTATTAATTCCAAATGCTTGAGATTTGCCAGGATAGGAAACACATGTTTCGGATTGTGTTCCTGAAAACCAAACAAGGAACAATGAGCTACATAATCCATAAAAGAAGGAAAGAAAACCAACGCATCATAATACATATACTAACCGCTCCAGTGATATTCAGTATGAGAATCTCCAGCTGAGAAAGACAGCATGAAAGTTGGCGAGAGAAAAGCTCTATGAATGCACGGGGATTGGAAAGATTGGACATGGACACCTCCACAAGCAACAGTACATTACTGAGAAGTACGTTCTCACTATTCTTACAAACAAATGAAACAAGGTTTGCATCACAAATCTCAATGCTTTGCAGGCCAACACAAATTCCTATCACTAAATGCTTCAATGCAACCGATGGACGGATAACTCTTAAGTTAACCAAACTTTTCGTTTCAAGCAGGGTTAATCGTTCAAGAACTGGACAGTTGGACAAGAAGTATTCAAAAACTTTATCAGTCATGTCAACACATTGGAAATGAAGAACTTTAAGGAACTGAAATCCAACTTTGCATCCACAAGGGCGTAGACTTGGAATGTAAGAATACACGTGCTTCTTCTCGAGACCTAATAGCTTGTGGGGAAACACATAGAAATTTTTTGAAGCAACGCCACATTGTGTATTAAACTTCAACACGAGTGTTTTAACTCCCTTTTCCATTGCAAACTGAATCCATTTGTCAATGGAACTTGCAAACCGATCATTTAGTTGAAAGCAAGCCCTGAATTCTTCGATGTTTGGGCCTCTATGTTGTTCCACCACACGATTCACCCAATTCACGTATCTACCACTTTCCAGATATCTTAATTTTCTTTTGAGGGCTATGAAGCGGCAGAGATTTCTATGAATATCAAAGTTAGCATTAAAGTTGAGAACCATAGTGGACATCCACACATACTGCCAACGTCTAGAAAGGATACTGGTAGCAGCTGCTTCCTTTAGCGACAAGAGAGACAATATACTGACAAGAATTTCATCTGTCATCTCACTAATTCTGTCTACCAAGTTGTACGCACCTTTTTCTTTCTCATTCTTTCCTGAGTTCTTTCCTTCACAACGTCTGCGTCGCTTTCCCGAGTTATTTCCTTCACTACGTCTGTGTCGCTTTCCCAAGTTGCACTCATACTTCTGTAAAAGAATCGGCCAAAATTAAACATCTCTCTTTAAGTTCATGATTCCATCACATTGTTATATTTAATATACATAAAAGAATATTAAATAAGAACAATAAAACCAACCAAAACGCACCTACATACAAGAGATCGGATGAAAATTTTCTACAAGTTAGATATGGAGACATAAAACAGGATGCAACTTTGAAACCATTTGGATATTTGGGTAACTAAAACAAAAAAAAAAACAAAAAAAACAAAAGGTGCCAATATTGTACCAGTTTAATATCTGGGAAATGAAAAGGATGCAACTTTCAAACCAATTAGATATCCCAGATAAAGAGAATGTGCAAATACACAGCTCAACCAATTACATTACAACGACCGGTTTTGGTTCGGTTTTGACTAAAACCACAAGGGAAACCAAACCAAACAAAACCATTGTTTGTCAGTTTGGGCCTAACCCAAATCCATTTTTTCCACCTCCTGTTACATTTACAGACCTGCTACTGACTTTCAAAACATAAAAAAATCCAATCAAACCGAACCTGCTTGCAAGTTCTAAGCATTCTATCAAGACATAATCATTGACAACAAAGATCAGCAATTATATGAGACTAAATGGTAACAGATACAAAAGTTATCAGAAACTCACGACCAGTGGCACCGAGTCAGATTGATCCATAATCACCACCAAGCAGCAAGCACACCAGTTAGCAATCCGAGTCCTGGACCAGTTAAATCCACGTATAAGTTTTGAAACAAATTAACTTGGGGTTAAAAAAAACTGTTGAATATGCTTACCAAATCTCTGGGACGATTAGGGCTTGTTTGGTATTTGATTTGAGTCCAATTTTATAAACTCAAAACAGATTTTAAATTTAAAGACCCAAAAACTCGTTTGGTAGGCCTATTTTTAAAAACTCAATCTCAAAACAAATTTAAAAAGACCCTTACTATTAAAAACAAAATAAATGTGTCTTTCTTGTTTTTATTTTTCGCGTTCGCTCTGCTGCTTCACTATGCACTCAAGCTTCAAGCTTCCATGGGAGAAGCTTGAAGCTCGCTTGCTCCATCTCTCTCTCCATCTCTCTCTTTGTCCTTTCATAACTTACTAAATTAATTAAATTATCGAATAATTTAAATTTCGATCGGGATGTATTTGATATTAAATGGAGAGTTGGAGGACTATTGAAATGAAAATTTTAATTAATGAACCAAAATGAGACTTGAGCAAAAATTAGAGGACTATTTTGATCAATAACCCTAGTCTAAACTCTTCCCCTAATAAGAGGCATAGACAAGACTAAGAAGAGAATGTAACTAGAGGCATCATATCAACTATCTTGCCAGATTTTATTGAGCTAATATTGACTTCTACATTCAATAGTTTGGTGACTCGACTTGAACTTGATTGGAGTTAAATCCAATCAATTTTTATGAGTTTCATTCCTCTAGACAAAATTTGTAAGACAGGTTATATTCACCAAACTGAGATTAGAACAAATGTCACAAACATCATCGTTCTCCTAAGCTAACCTTCTCCTTTATGTAACAAAGTTTGTAGTCTTTTCACTTCTTTTTTAGGGCAACCATAGTCTTTTTACAGTTTTACTTTTGAGAAGAGAACAAACCACTGTACCTTTCAATTGTCTATCCAAATTATGAAGGTGCCGTGGGCCCCAAGTCCCAACCAAGCACATCCCCACGTGGCCCAATGTAGAGGGTCGGCGCGCCATCTAGTTGGACACTCCAGTACAGTACACTCTTTTGTTGTCTTTCACATTATTTCCATTATTACCACTTATTTCCAAACAAAACAAAAAACCAGAAAATTAAAAAACATTACAGTCTAAATAATTTTAATTTCATTTATTATTATTTATCTGTCAACGAATTTCCAATTTATTTATTTTTCTAGTCCATCAGATCTCGCTCTCTTTGTTATTCATCTTCCTCCTCCTCCTCTTTGCTCGTCTCTCTCTTCCGCTTGGCTTGGCTTGGCTTCAGATCGAAAACAAGGTAGGTTTTCAGATCCGTACGTGATTCTCAGCCACCTTTGATCGTAATTTCCTTGATTCAATTCCAATTGCAACCGTCTGATCATAAACTCCAATGGGCTCGAACTACACGTGATTAGAGTTCGTGTTCGTTCAAGCTTTGTTTTTGATCCAAAGTTGGTTAATTTTAGCGAATTGTTGAAATCAGCAATTGGATGTGATTTAAATTGTTGTTGTTTCCTCAAATTTTGTTTCTTTTGAACAAATTTTGGGGCACTTTGTTGGTTGCTGAGAAAAGGAAGGGAAAGAAGAAGGTCGCATTGTCAAGGATTGGAGTTTTTGTTATTTGGGTTCGGGGACACTATAATCTACACAACCCAAACTGTTTTCAGTATTTAGACAGTTAAAATTACTGTAATTCAATAATCTATTGTATGTTTTTAATTTTTTAATTTATTTATGTTACTCTCTGTTTCTGATATTCATACAAACTAAGTGTTAATTAGGAAATTTTTTATTGCTATGATCTAATTCTTCACTCATTTGATTGGACTGATTTGCAATGTTGCTTTAGGAAGTGATCCGAGTTGACATCTTATAAAATTGGTCTCACAATTCGCAGTTGCTTTGGATGGCATCTAGTGGTTTTTATTCATAATTGCTGATTTTTTTTTTTTTTCGTGAAGCTTGCAAATGGCTGTTTCACAAAACAATCACGACATGGACGAGGGACAACTAGAGGTCGGCATGGGTAAGTCTTGGACTGGTTTACTTTTTTAGACATGGGTAATAGTGGCCATGCGTTTTCGGTCTTCAGTCATAATGGATACTTTGTGAGTTAATGTTGAACTCTTCAAATTTGTTCAGCTAGACAGAGTTAGCATTACTATGAGTTCATTATGGATTCGTAGATTAATGGTGTCAAATTTGACCTTATGTCCTCTGCCTTGACATTTCAGAGTACAGAACTGTTTCTGGTGTGGCCGGACCTCTGGTTATCCTTGAAAAAGTTAAGGTAGGTGATCCTATCTCTCTCTTTCTATCTCTGTGCCTGTCTGTCTGTCTGTCTGTCTGTCTAATCTAGATTGTTGTTAAGCTTTTCTGTGTGGAACTTTCCCCTTTTCTGAAACCAATAACTAATTTATTCTCTTTAACTATGTCAGGGACCTAAGTTTCAGGAGATTGTTAATATTCGTTTGGGAGATGGAACAACTCGACGTGGTCAAGTCCTGGAG